AGGCCCAGAGTCGCTGGTGCCCAAAGGCAGACCATAGCCGACGTAGATTCGATCTCAGGGACTGCTCATTGAAACAGACAGGGCGTTGAGGCTCCCATTCAGGTCTGTAGAGCAAGTCCATCTGACAACTATGACGTTCTTCTTCCGGTGGAGGAAAGGGACGTGTGACTCCTCAGAAAGTCAAGAGCAATTTGAGTTCAAAAGTTGTGAAACATCTATTTTCAACAAAAGATGAAAACGATGGAAAGGCAAGATCGTTGTAGGAAGATGCCAAAGAAAGAGTGATTGACTACATCCAAGCTTCTGGAATGAAATGTTCCGAAGACATGGTGAAATCAATTTGAGATGGAAAGTTAATTGATTTCAATGCGATCGCTCCAACATTGAATGCTCCAACTCAAACTGAAGCTGTTGCAAGAGAAACAGAGATTGTTGGGATATGACGAAATATGAGTTTTTACGTTCCAAAAGAAACTATTCAAGTACGAGGTTTTCGACACGTGCGATCGGACTTTGATCGTGATGTCGGGATTTGACGCAAGTCTGCCAGACGCAAGTCTGTCGGACAACCTGTATCCACACAAAAAGGGAAAGATCCTATACAAGTGGAATATTGATGTTGTGTACAATGCAGTAGGGAATAATGCAAGATGTCCCAAAGTACTGCATTCAACACAGAATTGTCGTAGAAGTCAAATCGAGTTCTGTAAACAAGGGATTTTCCAAGGGAAAATCGTTGAACTCACTTTTGTGATTGAATCATCAATTCAAGCCAAACATTAATCAAATAGGAACAATTTCACTCAAAGTATACCTAGACACAGGAGAACTATTGTCGTGAAAGTGTTGTACAGTCAATTACAAATTTAGATTGCAGAGAGTTTGTTCTGAGCGCTAAAGGCACTCACGATAGAGCACATTTTGCTTTATTCTAACAAATACCAGGTACCGGTATTGTCGTACCTTGTCCCGTACCACAATTGTCTGAGAATTTTTCCAAAAACTACCACTTTCAAGTGGGATGATTTGATTGGATGGTCAATTTGACCACAAGCCTGTATAGCCGTGGTCAATTTGACCACGAGCCAATTGGGCCATGGTCAAATTGACCACGAGCCAGTAGAGCCGTGGTCAAATTGACCACGAGCCAGTCGAGCTATGTCAATTTGACATGCAGCATGCCGTTGAACCAGCCTAGAAGAAGAGATAGGAATGGGTCAAAACAAAAGTTATAGAGTCTCTCAGAAAGCCACAGAAAGGAGTGACGTGAGAGTTAGGCCTAAAGCTATGTCTGTACCTCCAAAGGATCTAATCTAGTTCCAAGGTCACTCCTGGGTCATTACACTCTTCCCTTCTATGATCAGAGCCAGTCAATTGATCATACACTAAAGTCACAAGGCGTCCTTACATCCACTTGATCCTCCATTCAACTTCAGAGGTGGTTCTTGACGCAATTGGCAATGCAAGCATATCGTCCATTAGACTTGACAAAATGGCACAAGCCGTCTGATGTTGATCCTCTCACCGATCGCATCTGTGCGCTGAATTTCCACTGTACCATTATTGTAAACATTTGTAATAGGATACGGACCTCTGTACTTCGGATCCAACTTCCGTCCATCAGTATTCTTGATCAAAACTTCTCCACCAATTCTGTAATCAAATTCTTTTCGCTTCGCGTTCTGTCTCCTCAAGTTTTCATTGATCTTGTACTGTCTCTTTTGCTGCATAGAAAGTAGGTCGACAATCACAGGAATGTTTAGTAGCATGTCACGATGAAACACAGTCTCACCAGGAGTATTGTTCATCAAAGCTGTCGATACAGCACATCTCATTGCATGGTTGCAAGCAGCAAGAGCTCGCTTGACTTCTTCAACAGCAACTTAGAAAGTTTGGAGCAGCATTGTTGTATCTGGTGCGCAAAATGTTTGCCACTGTCAAATGCATTCGTTCACAGATCGCATTTGCAGTCGCATTCTTGCTAGTGGTTCCGCCATCATGGATTCCCCAAGTAGCAAGTTTTGCTTGAAAGGCTTCGCCAATGAATTCGCCTCCGTGATCGTGAATACATTTGTATGGTCTCGGGTATCGCGACAGCCACAGCATTTCGAACACGCTTGCTACGTGTGTTGCAGTTTTATTCTCGATAAAAGCAAGTTCAGTGAGATTTGTCACGAGATCAATACAAGTCAACGCGTTGAATTCAAGTTCTCTACCGTTGACGTCAATTTTCCATGGACCAATCAAATCAACAGCAACGGAGAACCATGGAACCAAATCCGCGTGTTGTTCAGGTAACTGTCCGTATTGAACATTTGCCGCTTTATTGAGTTGGCAAATTTCACAATTGAATCGTTCAATTCGTTGCTTCAATCCAGGAGAGTAGAATCGCTTTGCAATCGTAGCATACATTGACGTTTTTCCTCTGTGTCCAAGCACAAGGTGATACCAGGTGATCACATCATCAACCAAACTCAAAGGCAAGTAAATTCTCCAATCATCTTGACGTGCAGGATCGATTTGATAGGTGATGATGAGTCGCTCGTCAATTGTCGTGATCTGGTAGTGCTGTGCATCGCGTTGAGCTCGTTGCATGAGCAGTTGATCTTGAGTTTGATGTTGTTGAATGTTTGGCATTGTGATTGGGTTTGGCATCGTTTGTAGAGGAGGATGATTCAAAAAGGACTCTTCCATTTCAATGTCGTCAATGGTCAGGTGTTCATGAGTATCTCCATCTCGGCAACAGGAGAACTGACATCGAAAAGTACTGTTGAACTCGGCTTCTGTTGGTGGCGTAATCAAATCATTTTCTTTTACAAGAACATTATCTTCAAACGTGTAGATTTTGTCTTCAGGATCAACAGAAACCTGTAATTTATCAAACGCAATCAATTTACCCTTATTTGGGCTCTTCCCTTCAGACGGCTTCTCCATTCGCGGAAGCCGAGAGAAGCAGTCAGCAATCGCGTTATCTTTTCCAGGCAAATAGACGAAATTGGGGCCGAATTCTTCAACAAACATACGCCAACGAAGAACTCGTTGTGTGTTCAACGTTTGCATGGTGAGATTTTTATGATCAGTAAAAATAGTTAATTTGGCACCATATACCATAGACCGAAATTCCTTTAAACAATGTACAACAGCCAACATTTCTTTTTCCATCACAGAGTAATTGCGCTGTGCAGCATTGAGCTTACGACTCCAGTAGGCGACTGGTTTACCTTCTTGCATGATTACAGCGCCCATCTGGTAGTCAGACGCATCAGTATAGATTTCAAAGGGTTTGTTTGGATTGGGGTAGCGCATCATTAAATCGCTAGCCATGATAGCTTTCATTTCAGCAAATGCTTTTGCACATTCATCAGTCCATTCAAACATTCCTTTGCCTGTGAGCTCTGTAAGGGTTTGAGAAGATGAGATCGACGCGGCCACATGTGGCGGTAAAAGGTAACAGCACCAAGAAATGCACGCAATTCTGTTACATTCATAGGCGCTGACACCTTGAGGATGGCATCAATCTTTTTCTTCCACGGCTTGACACCTTCAGGAGCCAACCAATGGCCCAAGAAATCAGTTTCTTGGACACACCACTCGCACTTCAAGGGATTGATCTTGAACCCAGCAGCTTGTAGTCGCTGCAACACTTCTTGGATCAAGGCCATATTTTCTTTGTAGGAATTGGAGAACAGGCCAACATTGTCAATATAAATTTCAACACCTTTTTCTTTTAGGTCGCGTAGAGTTTTTTCGATATAGTATTGGGCAAAATCAGGAGCCGGTTTCAATCCCATTGCCATTCGGTTGTATTGGTACAAACCGTACTGGGTATTGATCGTGCAAAGTTTTTTGCTCGGCTCATCCAATTCAAAAGAATAATACATCATTGTGAGATCAAGTTTTGTGAAATACTTGTAGCCAGAATGACGCGCAACAATGTCATCAATTAAAGGCAAGGGGTATACTTTACGCTTGACATTCTTGTTCAGCTGTCGGAGATCGCTGATCCATCGCACCCTACCGTCCTTCTTTGGAATGATGAATGTTGGCGACGCCCATTCTAACGGTCCTGTTCGTTCAAGGACTCCAATCTCTTGTAGATGTTTCAACTCTTTGAGGAATGCAGGTTCATGTTGCTTCGGCACAGAATACGCTTTTGAAAACACGGGTTGCGCATTCTCAATGAGCTCCAAATGAACCTTCTCATGCTTGTAATGGCCGAGTTGACCATCAAAAATCTTGTCTGTATTCTGCAACGCTTGAGCCAAAAGTTTGCGCTGATCTTCAGTTAGATGCTTTTGCTTGTCAGCAACTTCAGCACCTGAAGTAGCTTCATATTTCGCATCCATGATAAAGGCATCATCAGCATCATCATCATTGTAGATATCCAGAACATCGCAATCCAATGCCATTGAGTAGTTGGTGTGATTTTGCCAATGATCTGGAGCTTTCATTGGAATGAACTTGTCTATCCATTTGACTTGTCCGTTTGAAAATTGGATATCCAAGCCCATTTCGTGTAGAAGGTTGCGTCAGATTATGACGTCATGTGGACACGTTGGCGAATCAAAGACATTCGCCTTAACACCGTCGACACCTGCAATTCTGCGGTGTTTGTCAAATTTGGGAAAGACTCCGTCCCGCAATTTCACACATTTGTCAGAAACGAAATCACCAGCAACAGTAGTACACTTCTTCGCATTTTGAATAATTTGTACCTTAGCATCTTTAGGAATTGCCCTTGCATTGACCATCGTATGCGATCCTCCCAAATCAAATAATACTCGTAAAACTTTTCCACTTTCAATTCCTCCAATTGTCTTCCAAATCACCAAAGATGTAGGTGAAAGTCGCTTTTTTCTCATCGAACCCTCCATAGAATTTACATCTTGTCTTGGCGTACGTATACAAAGCAAAGAATCATTCAAAAGAAACTCCTTTTCATCTTTAGTCATGGGACCATCTTCATCATCAATTTTTTCCAATGCTGAAAGAAACGAAGACAAATCAGGTTCCAGAAATGGGTTAGGAAGCTTAGGAAGCTCTGTTAGTTTACGAGTATTTTTGGGTCAGTAATGCTCTTCATGAAAGGAAAATGGCGAATCCTCATCATAGGAAAAATGTTCGTGCGCCTCCTGTTCTTCAGGATAATATTCTTCTTGTTCATAGTTGAATTGATCATTCCATTGCTGATTTTCTTCAGCTTGATAATATTGTTCCTGATGCTGGTACTGCTCGGCACTTGGCATTCCGCCATAAGACATTCCGTCTTGGTTCTATTCCGGAACGCTGCATTCCGCAGCAAAGCTTTCAGCTTCTTGATTGTAGTGCGACTCAGCAAGTAGTTTTGACTGTTTTGTTGCTGTGATTGGCCTCTGCCTTGATAGTTTCGTCCTGGCTGAAAACGACCAGATTGGGAGCGTCCACTGCGCTGGCCATTGAATCCACGGCCTCTGCTACCATTGTTGGGGTGTCTTGGTTGAAATCGTCCTTGGTCTTGTTGCTGGGAATTGCCTCCACGTTGAAAACGTTGTGAAGTCCCTTGAGAATATCTTGGAGAGTTCGAGGGTCTTGGATATGGTTGATAACCATTCCTTGGTTGACCATGACCACGACCACCACCAAAACGATTGTGGTGAAGGCCTCTACCGCCTGTGCGATTACCAGGTCGAGTTCGACGGGGAGAACTCTCCTGCATAAGTTTTTTCCTGTCCACTGTTCTTTTCTTCTGTGTCATCCAACTGACAATATGTTTCCACGTAATATTATCGTCGTTCGCCGGATCATTCCGCAAATTGATAAAATCTCCCTGCCAATCAATTGGAAAGGAGCGAAACAGTGCCAGCTTTCTCTTCCGAATTTGCCCCGGATTGTTCTCATCGTTCACGTTGGAACAATTTCCAGGAAGCATATCGTGATACATAAATAGGGTTTTCAAGCGATTTGCGTGAATTCCAATTTCAGTAGTATATGGTTTGCGAATGTGGTTGGAAGTATCAAAGAGATACATGTTCGCTTGATACTTTGGATTTTCACCAGTGTATTTGCAAATGAATTCATTGACAGAATCTTCAAAGTCCTGAACTGAGTTCCCATGAGCATCAGAAATCCTCTGATAGGTCATGTGCAGTTCAACAGTGAGGAATTGCTTGAACAAGGCCTTCTCTTGACGACCCTGATTGAGTCCCCACTCTGAAGAGATGTTGCGAAAGGATTGAATGGACCTGAGGAGTGGTTCAACATTCTTTCCACTTGCACCATTCCAAACTTCAACCTTTTGCTTGCGCTCAAAGTTGTTGTCAAAGAAACTGACATACTGCATCACTGGATTAGTGACTTCCCTGGCCTTGTATGCCAAAGGAGAGTCGCCCTCATTGACAATGATGGTTTGACGGAGCATGTGCGTAGAAGCCATCGTAGAAAAAGTACTGGAGTGTGGAGTGTAAAACTTCTTGTAAATCTGAAAGGATCGAGGTTTTTCGATCAAATCAAACAGCAGTTGCTTGTGTGTGAGAGAGTATACTCTTGTAGTCTTCAATCTAAGCCTTATGGCTGTTCAAATAGTGAACCAGCCTAGAAGAAGAGATAGGAATGGGTCACAACAAAAGTTATAGAGTCTCTCAGAAAGCCACAGAAAGGAGTGACGTGAGAGTTAGGCCTAAAGCTATGTCTGTACCTCCAAAGGATCTAATCTAGTTCCAAGGTCACTCCAAGGTCATTACAGCCGTCCAATCATCGAATAGACCCGCTGCATTTTTACACAGAGTCATTTCTTAAATATGGAAAAGTGGTCTACTAACAGAAATGATTAGAGAGGACGGGCATGCTTTTTTCCTTTGTCCTCTCCCACCCTCCGCACAGCCGAGCCGTGCTATTTTGACTGACTGTTTGTGGACGCGGATAAGCGGGTCGCTGCAATGATTTTTCAAGATTCCGCCTGCAAGATTCCCTTTGTAAAGTTGCTATTGCGTGTGGAATGACTAATCGGACCACAGGTCCCGGCCGTTCCTGTTGATCCCTGCAACACAGGGAGGTCCTGCTGAATATAGTCCTTCCGGCGTCCGTAGCACTAAACCTGTGCCCTAGGAATCCCGAATTATGACCATTAAACTATTGAGATGCGTGCGCGCCAACTGAAAGCGACGGAATCTGACAAAACGGAATCTAATTATTCAGCAGTACTGCTGAAAAATTCAGCAGTTGATTAGGGAATTCAGCAGTACTGCTGAATTTTTCAGCAGTTCGCTGAATTTTAAAATTCCCTTTGTCATTCCCGTTATATTAATCGCCAATCAATCGTCAGATATAAACCACCATCAACACCTTCTTGACAACGCC